AATTACAGTAAAAGTAGCATGTACATTTAAAATTTAAAAATGGTACAGAATTAAAAACTCACTGCAATCAAGTTGGATCTGACTCATAGTGACCCCTCCTTGGGTTTCTGAGGCAGTATCTCTATGGAAGTCAATTGCCCAGTCTTCCTTCCGAGGAGCGGCTGGTGGGTTTGAACTGCCAGCCTTCTGGTTAGCAGTCAAATGCCTTAGGCACTATGCCACAGAATAGAATTAATGAAAAGTAAAAGTCCTCAGCCCACCTTCAAGTCTACAGGAGAACCACACTTAACAGTTTCTCATTGCACTTTTCCCTTTGGACATGAAATATTATGCACAACCCATCAGTTTGTGATGGTCTTTCTTGGTCCTCCACTGGGTAAGTTAAAAAACATTAGAGCTTCTGTGTCACCCTCACTCTATCTCCCTACTTGTGTTATATGTTTCCTTTGTCAAGATTTAGAATATCTACATTTGAAGGTTGGCCAATCTACTTCCATAGTGATACTGCCTCAGAAACCCAAGGAGGAGTTGCTATGAGTTGGATCCGACTCCACGGCAGTGGGTTGGGTTTGTGTTGGTTTTTATGTATACATTACACATATGTGTGTATGTATATATATATATACAGTTGTCTTTCATGCGTAGACTGCAAGTTGTTTCTAAAAAATCAGAAACCCTGGGCTTCAGGTGAAGTTGTCTTTTTTAGCATCCTCTGTGACTAATGAGAAATGTGTTACCAGTCAATTGTTTTGCAGGTTCACCTCTGGAAACTCCTAGTTTTCTCTTTGGCAGTACCATTTCCGAAGAAGGTATCTAATCATGAGTTTCTTATCATTCATTGTGTGAATATTCAAATCTAAAGACTTTGTTCTTGGCTACACACTGGCTGTGTCTGAGAGGGTCTTTCCTCACCCCCTCAGAATCTGTTCCCGAGTCATCACCGAAGGCCAGGAAGCAGGACCTTCAGACAGCTTCAGGCACATATGAGGTGTCTAATGACTGAGCTCTGGTGGCGCAGGGGTTAGAGCATTCAGCTGCTACCAGGAGAGAGCCAGCAGCCGCTCCTTAGGAAGGAGATGAGGCAGTCTGCTTCTGTAAAGATTACAGTCTTAGAAACCATCATATGGGGCAGTTCTACTATCCCATAGGATCACTATGAGTCTGAATGGACTCAATGGTATTGGATTTGGTTTTAGGGCCTTCCCATGAGAGCACGAAATAACCTCAGGATCCAAGAGCCAGTCCCAG